CTCATACTAACATGTCCCAATCTTCTGTGCCAGATCCACTGCTCGTTGTTAACAGACAGAAGACATTTTACGTTCTGACTCTTTAGTTCAGAAAGTTTGATTTTGTAAATGTTGTTTTTCCTCTTACCATTAAATAGGATAGTCCCATCTTTCTGACTAACAGCTTTACATGATTTTTGATTAAAGATTATATCATAACCGTTATCACTTAATTGACTTATGGATAACAGATTATGCATCAATCCATCTACTAGCAGAACATTATTAATAGAGGGAAGATTTCCGTTACCTACAGTTCCAGAGCCAATAATCTTTCCCCTCTGATTGCCTCCAAAGCCAACGTGGCCTCCAGGCTTAAGTTCCAGGCTTTGGAACATATGCCTTCTTCCCGTCATGTGTCGTGAGCAGCCAGAGTCCAGGTACCATGACTGGTGTTTCTGACTTGCTGCTAAAGATATCTGCAACATGTATTATTTTATCCTTAGGTACCCAGATTTTCTTGGGTCCTGACTTGTTAGTTTTACCAAAACTCTGGTTGAATTTTGGTTTCACATAGTGCTTACTGCTAGTGTATTTGATGTCGTGTGTGTGACCATACACAAAGTGTGAATTTAGAGGAGTGTGTTTAATAATTAAATCCATGACATTCTTAGGTGTAGGAACCTTACCTTGGTATCCTATTCCTTTCCTGCCGTTTCTGCTAACTCCATAGATCATTGAAGCCATTCTGCTTCTATCTATGCTTTTAGCAAGGAACTTCTGGAAACTATGATCATACTCCTTGATGATCTCATCAGCGTTGCTGGGAGTTTCAGAAATTGGTTCCTTCTGAGAGTTTTGTAAAGAGTTTTCTAATTTTGAAATTTTATCTCTCAGCTCAGAGTTTTCCAATTTGAGACTCTCAGACTTATTAGAGTCAGATTCAAGATTCCTTTTCAGGTCTCTGAATTTAGCTCTAATCTGCTGATAACGTTCCAGAATTTCATTGAGGCTTTCAGCAAGTTCAGCCTTTGTAAAATTAACAGCGAAGTTAGGGAATACCTCTTCTGTGTCTGATTTTGAGTCTGATTCAGAAGCTTCACTGTCATCTGGAATGTTAGCCATGAGCGCTATGTTTGCCCTTTCATCATCTGATTCTGAGTCAGCTTCAGACGAGTCAGAGTCATCCCATGTGGCCATGAGACTTTTCTTCTTCTCTCTTCCAAACTTCTTTTTGGGCTTTTCCCTCTGAAGCTTTGGGCAGTCACTCTTGTAGTGTCCTTGCTCATTGCACTCGTAGCAGATGATGTCTTTTGTGTTTGGCTTCTTGCTACCGGAGGAGCCTTCAGATCTTCTGTATCCAGAGGAAGAATCTGTCCTTCTGTATCTGGAAGAGGACTCGTTCTGATCAGATCTTCTGGGATTCCTGAACTTCCTTTGTCTTTGCTTCCACAGTTGATTTACTCTTCTGGAGAGAAGGGAAAGTTCGTCTTCTTCTGATGAGGATCCATCAGATGTTTCTTCAACTGCCTGCAAAACTTTAGATTCAGATTTTCTGTTAGATTTTAAAGCTAAAGGCTTACCTTGCTTCTGAGGCTCATCAGCTTCTAGCTCTATCTCATGACTTCTGAGGGAGCTTATAAGTTCCTCCAGAGTGATTTTGTTGAGATCTTTCGCTAGCTTCAGAGCAGTAACCATAGGCCTCCACTGCTTGGGTAAACTTCTGATTATCTTCTTGACATGGTCAGCAGTAGAGTATCCTTTGTCCAGAACTTTGAGACCAGCTACCAGAATCTGGAATCTAGAGAACATAGCTTCAATGGATTCAGATTCTTCCATTTTGAACGCCTCATACTTCTGAATGAGCGCCAGAGCTTTTGTTTCTTTGACTTGAACGTTGCCCTCATGCGTCATTCTGAGAGAATCAAAGATGTTCTTAGCTGTGTCTCTGTTGGAGATCTTTTCATACTCAGTATAGGAGATGGCACTGAGGAGGATGGTTCTGGCCTTATGGTGATTCTTGAAATCACGCTTTTGTTGATCAGTCATTGATTTTCTTTCAATCTTCTGACCAGTTGCATTCACAGGGTGCGTGTATCCATCTGTCACCATATCCCACAGATCAGCATCATGTGCTAGAAAGAAGCTTTCAATTCTGTCTTTCCAGTAATCAAAGTTTTCTCCATCAAAGACTGGAGGTTTGCCGCTGAATCTGTCTCTGTCCTCATTGTTGTCATTGCTGAAATGAGAGTTGTTTCCTGCCATTGTGTTTTTCTGACGCTGGATCTTGTACTGACACGGTTAAGTGTTTTAGCTCAGAACCAGGCGCTCTGATGCCAATTGAAGGGGTGAAAAACACAAGAAGGGGGGGTTGAATTGTAAAACTGGAATCTTAAAGCAATTGACAAGATATTTTTATCCTGGTTCGTTTGATCTCAAACTACTCCAGTCCACCCGTCAAGGTGATTTTGCCTCTCTCCAACGAGGTCTTAATTCACTATATTCAACTGAATACAAATCTGCTTTAACAACTGCTAAAGCCTTCTTGATTCAAACCACAATCCGGTTTGTCAAGGCAACACTTTCTTACAAAGGTATAAAACAAATGTGTGTGAATGTTTTCTACAAAACTTTATCACAACTGTGATGTATACACAAATGAAGCTTAGAAACTTAGAATGCTAAACACTAATGGAGTATCAGAGTTTGTGGTTTAGCAGAACTGGTAGATGAAGATTATTGTTCAGCTTTGTGCGTGTAGAGAATTGGAGAGCATTAGCCATTATAATCTTCGAAGCTTTGTTTATATAGCACTTGAGAAGATGAACGTTGAATGCAAATATTCTTGATTCAATGCTAATAACAAGCTTTCCTTTTTGAGCAGATCTTGTCTAGAATGATGCCGTTGGAATTAATTAGCGTTCAATGCACAGTACCGTTGCTTCTTCAATGCACGTTCTGGCTTGGCTCATTCTGATTCTGCTTCGCTGCTGATGAACTATTGTTTTTGTATCAGAGTGTTTACGCGCAGTTCTGTTCATCAAGCTTCAGCATGTACGTGAGTTGATCATCTGATCTTCACGTTCTGATTCAGCAACTTCTGATGCTGGTGTATCAAATCAAGTTCTGATGCTGAAGAAGTGATCTTGCTTATTTTAATCAGCGTATCTGCAAGTCAGAGCATAGTAATTTTAGGTAGCATATAGTTTAATCATGAAACATATAAATACTTATATCTTTTCACTTTGTTATCATCAAAACTTAAATATAGGATACTAGATTCAAACATTGTTCTAACAGATTTAGTTTTCCTCTACTTTAACTTCTAAAAACCAAACGTGACAACATCCGCCTTAGCTAAACTAGCAAACCTTTATAGCACTAGAGTGATTACAAAGTCCCTGTGGGTTCGACATCTTTTTATTACTACCGCAATAGGTTGTGCACTTGCAGTTAAGATACCGTTAGACACATTAGGTCAATCGCACACCAAAGCTTCACCTTCTTCACTGACGCGTCACCACTGTAACATCTGACCAGTATATCCCATGCCTCTTTCGACGTCTTCGAATCAGCAATCTTCTCAAACACACTTTCATCCACACATTGATGGATATAGAACAGAGCTTTCTGATCCCTCTTCCTCGTAGCTCTTTCTGCAGATCTCTGTTCTTCAGTAGCTCTTTCTACAGATCTCTGTTCTTCAGTAGCATCTGCTGCAACTGGAACATAACCATCGGTAACAAGATCCAGAACATCTTGAGCACCAAACAGCACACACATCTGTATCATCCATTTGTTCCAGCTTTTGTCATCAAAAACTGGAAGTTTAGTGTTCAAACTACTACCTCCACTCTTAAACCTTGCACAAATCTCAGATCTCACTCAGTGTTTCCCAAACCCACAGAATCAGTGTGATTTTGTTCAGATTTTTGTTCAAGATTCAACAGAAATCAAGAACCAAAAACAAACACACAACTCACTTTCACTCGTGTTTCCCAAAAATTCAGAAGAACCAAGAGCTCTAGATACCAATTTGTTGGTGCAAGGTGATGAAATTGAGGAAGAAGAGAGAAATAAAGATGACGACTGCTAATGATTGAAAAGGAATTGAATATATTAATGAGACCTAGGTACACCTATTTATACACAAAGATAGTAAAAGATAAGAATGACACATAGGCCATAAAAGTGGATAAACTTTCAAATATAACAAATACTAAATTACCCTTTAATAATCCGAAGTGGATAGACCCAAAGTGGAAAACAATATTAGGAAAGAAAAGGTCTTTGTAACAAAAAAAAGGTCTTGCACTCAACATTTTATATCTAAATTTATTTCATTGTGAAACTTGTACATGAGGAGAAGTTCTAAAATGGAGGGAAATTGTACTTGAAGAGATGAAAGTTCTTGAAAAAAACAAAACTGAAAGTGTCATAACTCTTCCGGTTGGTGGGATGCAAATGGGTGTTAATTGTGAAATATAATTCAATTGGTCAATTGAAAGGTATAAAGCTCGAGTGGTAACCAGAGGTTTCACTCAAATCTATGACATAGACTACTCAAAAGCATTTGTTACTGTTACAAAATTGTACATCGTTGAAATACAACTATCTCTTAATGCGAACCTAGATTGAGCTTTACATTAATTAGATGTTAAAAATGTCTTTTTAAATGACAATCTAGATGAAGAGGTCTATATGGATGTTGCTCCCGAATTTGAACTCAAATTTGGCTCAAATGTGTGCAAGTTACCCTTAAAATTGTACTTTGAAAGCAAAGCAATAATTAGCATACCTCATAATTCAGTTAAAATTGACTGACACTTTATAAAGGAGAAGTTAGACCTTAGGACTACATGCCTACTTTTTGTAACTTCTAGTCAAGAGATAGTGGATATTCTAACCAAGAGTTTGGTGATTATCTAATAAATCAAAGCACCATGAAGTGAAAAACAATGAGATTTTAAATTTTAAGTAAAAGAATTGTTCTAAATTCTCACCATATTTAAGTTCCCTTCTCAAAACAATGATTCTGATACACATGGATGCTCCAAGTACAATTGCAAACAAAGAGGTTCACTACTCATCGACTTGATAGGGGTAATAAGTGGAGGCTGTTGCCACTGCTTTGTGTCAGTTGAAATCCACAAGTCTGCTTCCTTGCTTGTGCCTGCCTCGGGAATGGATCGAAAGTAAGCGGTTATCTCCCACCTGCAATCTGTTAAGAACTTATGAAAACAACTTATAACAATGTCCATAAACTATTTTCAACTTACTTCTATAACCATTCCATAATAGCTTATGAAAAAAGTTTATAAAAATTTATATAAAAATAATCTTTTTAATGTTGTTATAGAAATAGCTTATAGCCTTATACATAAGCAATTTATATGATAAGCACTTCTGCTGTGAGTTCTTAATTAAGCTGTTAGCCAAACAAAAACTATATATACCACAAAAATGAAATGGAGCATATGGTTTGAGAAAAGTAGCAAATCACTCCAACTTGATTAAAAACAGCTTCTCATTTTAGTTTCTGATTAATTTAAAAGCTTAAACAAACACAATCAAAACCACTAAAACTAATTTTCAGTTAAAAAAAGTTTTTTTTCCTCTCAATGGATTTGAAACAAATGGTCTATATACTTTGTACTTACCAGGAGGAAGCTTCTTAGTAAGAGATTCTGAAACTGACAACTTGCTCATGAATGATCTGAGAGAGAACTGAAGATCAACCTCTTCCACAGATGAACCATAAGAGAGATTCATTGCAAGCTTGAAAATAAATTTCTCGAGCGGAATATCATCAGCATTGAAGAAAATAACAGCCACTCTTTCAACCAGGCCCTAGTAAATGGAAGAATCACAGGGAGTAATAATCTATCAAATCATGCTGAAATAGAGTGCAAATATCGGGCACTCGAAAAATAGATGGGATACCAACTCCTCACTATACCGACTCGACCCCTGATCAATCACTCCCCTTCCGACAAATTGTCTCTTGTTGGAATTCTACTCTGTAACAATATCCATACCAAACCCGACACTTTTGAGGGAATCGTCTTATTCCAAGGATGGTTAGGATGGCCCCAACAACTGCTAATAATCTAAAACATAAATGCGTATACTCTAACAACTACGTATGTGATACATGGAAGAATGAGCTAATTATGCAACAATGGCCAGGGGTAAGACACTGCAATAGACATTTGAAGGTAGCTATGCAGGGGTGCGAAAAATCACTTTTCTAAAGCTAAAGATCGTTTTAGTAGTTTCAACTGTGTTTGTTAAACTTTCGAAATTCATCAATAGATTGTCATCACTAACAATGAAAAAATATCAAATTTCCATTCACCAAATAACATGCACGAAGATGATATACTCATTTAAGGTATAGCTGAAATCTACATGACATTGAAAACAAACCAACTTATATTTTAACATCAATTTCCAAATCAAGCAATCAATTCAACCAGAGTTTTAAACGACTGCGAAAATGGCCGCAACAAAACAGTACCAATACTGTTACTCACCGTTTTTATGTTAAAGAACAAGTTGTGGTTAATACACACCACGACGACCACAATTAGTATCGCGACATCTGTACCGACTGAAATTGCGAAAACTTTTACGCAACCGTGACCCTTTTTTAAAACCTTAAATTCAACAACTCACATATTATGATGAGTGAAAAACAAAATCAAAGTACTAAAAAAGACCAACCTTTTGAATAAAGGGAAGAAGTCCTGAAACAGTGGCATGAATGTAATATCTAAGCTGAGGATGACAAGCCCTTTGAACTACCACATTCATATACCTTCTCCTCTCAAAAGCACCTTCACCATAGCCAAAATAATTAAAATCAATAGTTAAAAGAAAGCTCGAACACCCTGAACACGACCCGACACTGACACGGTGATACTGGTGACAATTTTAAAAAATAAATACATTAAATATAATCAGAAGTGTTGTCGCAGTCTGCCATTACATAGACAGCATGTTTTTTTAAGAGGTGTCAATGCTATTATATATATATATATATATATATATATATATATATATATATATATATATATATATATATATATATATATATATATATATATATATATATATATATATATATATATATATATATATATATATATATATATATATATATATATATATATATATATATATAATCAAATTGCAATGTGCAGCTAAAAACCATTGCTTTTTCTTTTTATTAAGCAACCAAACAAACCTGAAGGATAAACCCCTTTGAGAAAAACAACACAAGTAATAGCAACTTCCAAAAATTCAACCAAAACCCTAGCTATTTGGCCTGCAAATTTTCAAGAAGAATCACTGTTAGAAGAAAAATACAAGAATCAAAATCAAAGCTTTCGTTGCTAAAATTTCAAACCTTGTGGAGTTTGATTCTCTCTGCGCTCCATTACATAAAATTTCCATACTCAATTTTCAATAAAACAAAAACCCCTTTTCCGAAAAAATTACAATTTTGACCCCAATTCGACCCGTGTTCAATTTGGGTCACAGAAGCACTTTATGGATCGGGTTTTGACCCGAATTTCATTTGCTTCTTGCTTCGATTGAAAAAGATTTGATTTTGACTAATGATTTAATTGAATTTTGAGTTTTAACATTGAAATTTGATGCTGAAAGGAAAAAGCAAAGAAAAGATGGAAGGAGGAAGAAGAGGGAGGGCTTGTGTTGTAGTTTTGGGTGACATTGGACGCAGCCCTAGAATGCAGTACCATGCTCTCTCACTCGCCAATCAGGTTTTTTTTCTTCCTTTTCATTGCAGTTTCCCATTTGGATTTTTGTATAATTTCATGTACTATTTTGATTTGATTTTGCATATGTTGTTTGATTTTCCATTACATTAGTATTTATGTATTATTAGAATCAGGGGTTTAAAAAACGATCGCGGACTCGTAAAGGCTTTTGCGATTTCGGTTGGTGCAGGTATCGCGATACTGATTACGGTCATTGGTATCGGCATCGGCATCTATCAATACCAATTTGTCGTGGTCGTTTTCAGTGGTCGCAGACTGTTTTTTAAAACACTATTGAATTCTGATTTCTGAGTTCCTTGTAATGATTTTATTTGCACTGTTGATTGATTGAGCTAATGGCTTTTCTCTGTCATTCCAATTTCCAGGCTTCCCTAGAGGTAGACATTGTTGCATATGGAGGTAAATTTTTCTGGTTGAGATAGTTGTCTCTGATACTGGAGATGGCCGCGCCACGCCGCTATCTGAGATTGATAACGTAGGAATTGATTACTACTTTGCAATTATAATATGAATAAAATTTGTGTTCAATGATTTTTAACAGGCTCAGAGCCCCATACTGAACTTCTGGCCAACCCATCTATTCATATTCACCTCATGGTATGTATTTGAATTAATCTTTTGAGGATGAATTTTACAAAAAGTTGATGTAGTTTTGGTCGGAACATTCTCAAATTTTCAGAAGCAGTGGTCAACAGCCCGTCAAAGCTTACCGAAGATACTTCAACCTTTCATGCTTTTGTTGAAGCCCTTGTTTCAAATTTTCACGCTTCTTTGGTACCTTTGTATTAAGATACCTTCTCCTGATATTTTTATTGTCCAGGTTAGTTACCCTTTATGTTTTATTCCCTCATTCTTTAAGTAATTTTATGTTTTACGTGATAGATTCAATGCTACTTGTTCTTACTTAAATTAGAGTTTTAATGTTACTAGACAAGTGTACTTGAAAAGTGGGGGTTTGAGAAACATCTCAGAAGCTAAATACATACTATTAAATACCATATTTGCGTATTAGTTTGTTTTTGATTACATCAATTTGGGGTTTAGGCTACAAGAGAGATTCTATTTTGCCCAACTTTGCTCTCTTTGCATAGATGATGTTTGGCACTCTATGTGTAACAAGACATTTATTCAGATTTTTAGTTTGATTAAGGCCTTGTTTGGATAAACAGTTTATTTAAGTGTTTATAGCATAATTGTTTGTGTATAAGTTGTTTCTATAACAAAAGATAAAATAAGTCAAACTGATTTCATATAAGCTATAAGTTTTTTTCATAAGCTATCCTTAAGAGCTAATAGAAATAAGTTGAAAACAACTTATGGACATGTCATAAGCTGTTTTAGTAAGCTCTGTCAAACTATCTCAGAAGTACTTATGTCAGTAGATAAGCTCAATTAAGTTAACCTAAATAGATCCGAACCGTGTAACGATTCATTGACGAATGAAGCAAAACAACCAGAGATGGCAGCAAGTATGATTCTGTAGCTTTATAGTTCACTTTCTTTCATTTCTTTGTTTTGTGCAGAATCCTCCTTCAGTTCCAACTCTGGTGGCAGTAAAATGGGCTAGCTGGTTGAGAAAATCATCTTTTGTCATAGATTGGCATAATTTCGGATATACTTTACTTGGACTGTCCCTTGGAAGGAATAGCCGTTTTGTCTCTTTATACAAATGGTACTGGTTCAGCATTTTAAACTTTTTTATGTTTGCAAATGTGGATTTTTTCTTTACTTTTTGCTTTCTTAAACTTGTTGCTAATATGATTATTTTTTCTTGGCTCGATTTAGGTTTGAGAATCGGTATGGGAAAATGGCAGACGCTTCTCTATGCGTAACAAAAGCAATGCAGCATGAATTGGCTCAAAACTGGGGGATTAAGTAAGAAATTCAACTAAAAGTTCAAATCTTGTTTCTCTAACATATATTGTCTTTCTTTGTATGTACTGTGAAGCAAAGCAGCCTGATGTTTGTTTCTTAATGTCATAGTGCTTCAGTATTGTACGACCAACCTCCTGATTTCTTTCATCCAACTTCGCTGGAAGAAAGGCACAAGGTGATATAGTTGTTCACTTGTCTAGTGACTGTGAATGGTGTTGCGTATTCGGCATTCCTAAAGATTTCCTAATACAATATAGATAGCTTATAGTTGTTTTGCAGACTGAATGAACACTTTTATCATCCTCTTGGTGTTAGAGATTGTGTTAGTAACGGTAAGATAGGTTTATCAATCCTGATATATATTGATCTTAGTCGATGGCAATCAGCATGATATTTCTCAACATTCTTGCTTCCTGCAGGAAGTTCGCTGACGAGTAGCCAAATCCAAAATGAGAGTGTATTTACAACTGAGGTTGGTTCAAACATATGTTTGAAGCCAAACAGGCCTGCACTTGTTGTAAGCAGTACGAGCTGGTAAGTGTGTTCTATAATGAATTGGTAGCATTAAAATTGGCGATATCACTGAATACAGATTTTTCTCTGATGTGAGGTAAAGTCATCATTTACTTTACCAGACTTGAATGATTTGTTTTTGTGACTTGTGCCATTTTCAGGACTCCTGATGAAGATTTTGGCATTCTCTTAGAAGCTGCTTTAATGTATGACAGACGTGTTGCGGCTATATTAAATGAAGATGATTCACTAGATGAGGAGGTCATGTGGAAAGAAATATCTGATGGAAAACAATGTTTATATCCCAGATTGTTATTCGTCATCACTGGTAAGTTTTTTGTTTTTTTCCCGCCTTCTGAAGCTTTGAGAATCATAAGGGACTTTCTAAGGAAGAATCTTTCTTGATAAAAGGTAAAGGTCCTGAAAAAGCAAAGTATGAAGCTAAAATAAAGACATTGAAACTTAAACGCGTGGCATTTCGTACCATGTGGCTGTCTGCAGATGATTATCCACTACTGCTAGGTACGTTTTTTGTTCTTCGATTTAAAAAAATTTCCTTGCAGTGATGTAAAGTAGTTGATGTTAAACTTTTAGTAATTTCAGGATCAGCTGATCTAGGTGTCTGTCTGCATACTTCATCATCCGGATTAGACCTTCCCATGAAGGTACCATTATTTGTCATATATCATTGGATAAACAAAGATGTGATATGATTTTACAGGCTATTCTTCATTTCGTGTCATAAATTTTGCTTCAGTGTTTGGAAGTAGTTTTTTTTTCATGTTGAATTCAGCTTTATATTTTGAGAATGATGGATAAATTTGACATCGAATTTCAGGTTGTTGATATGTTTGGCTGTGGGCTGCCAGTTTGTGCTGTTTCATACTCTTGGTAAGCTACGCATTTTCTTTGAAAATTATGTTTGTATTTTTTTTAGTTCACACGTTATGTTTGTTTCGTTTATCGGTAAAGTCTTTTACTTTTTTGAAGCATTAAAGAGCTGGTTAGCGTTGACAAAAATGGTCTTCTCTTCTCTTCATCTTCGGAGCTAGCGGATGAACTTTTGGTATCCAACTCTTTTTAAAACTATTGATTCATAGCGTGGCCAATGCTTATAGCTAATCATGAGTATACTAATTTGTTTTCTGGCTGAATCTACATAGACACTCTTCAAGGGATTTCCCGTTGCGTGCGATTCTTTGAAGGTTCTCAAATCAGGTGCACTCGATACCGGTTCTTCATCAAGGTGGGTTACTGAATGGGAAGAACATGCAAAGCCACTGATAACTGAGGCAAGTTCATAGTTAATCCTATTGTCACCTTTTTTTTATATGCTGATTTGTTAACCTAAATTTACGGGCATTTGAATTTGCAGGTTATATCAAGATTTTGATTTTCTGTCTTCTTAGAAGACGTCTTTGACTTGTAACAAAAAATTTCATAGATTTGTTGGTTTGATTGATCCTATAGATGGTTGATTATTTAGCACCATAAGTCGATTTTTATGCAGCAAGATCTTCAACATCTGTCTATTTTTGACTTAGTGCTTTTGTTGTAAATAAAAGTCTGATTTTTTTTTTTGGAAAGTTCTTTATGCCAACCAAACTCATTGAACAGCACTTTTCGAACGGTTTTTGGAGTCTTGCCTTGGTTCATCTTTCCATCAACAATGGCCTCTGCAAGCGCTTCCTCCATTGGCTTTGCTTTCACGTATAAACGGTTTTGTTTGTTTGGTGACTTGCTCATCACGGTATGGCTAAACTTAAGCAGAGTCTCGCAGAAAGAGACGATAGGATCAAAATTTGAAATCTCAGCTCCATTCATAAAATCAGCCTGCAAATCCTTCAAGCAGATTTCAAGGTGCAGTTCACAGGCAACACCATGGGATCTGCCTTTGTTAACCTTTTAAGGCCTTCGACAAGTTTGGGAAGATCTGATGCAACCTTGCATGTAATTGATACACTTACCATAGGGGACACTGAAAACTTCATAGCTTGTTTAGGTTGTGCTACTTGTTTCTCATTTGTTAAAGTTGCATTCTTGGTAATGAATTGATCCAAACCGATAGTTTTGCTATTTTTAGAAAAAAAAGTTGTTACGTGTTAGTTAAGTAGTTGGTTGATTAGTTAATTAACTAATGGGTAGTTAGTAGTTTTGTTGAGATGGTTACAATGTAGTCAAACATGGGATCTTGCGTAGGATCGGATGCCTGTACAAGATCGTAAAACTAGGATTGTAGCATGACACTTAAGATCTTACTGGAGGGCAAAATGGTAAATTCACATGGACAAAAACATGAATATTATAATACAAGAACAAGACAATCTATAAATCACATCATTCAACTAATTCAATTAACAATTCATACTCATCATTCCTTAAGATCAAGTTCAAAAAAAATAGCTCTCAAAAGATCAAGTTTAAAATAAGTAGTTAAAAATACATAAATATAACAAATAAGTCTAATCATCTAAAATATTATGCATTCCTATATTATGATAGTCATATAAATCCTCCTCATTCTCTTTCACTTCAATGGCATCATCTTCAACAATGGAAGAAACTTCTAAATCATCACCAATAATACCACTAGCATCTTCTCCAACATCAAGTGTAATATCTTCATCATCTTCATTTTCCTTCTCATTCGCAATCCATTCTTCCCCTTCATTTTCAGAATCAATTTCATCAACCTCATAGTTAGCACTCTTTCTCTTGTTCTTCTTTTTCCTCAATTTTGAATTAGTCATCACAAAAACTACCTTATTCATTGTGTTTTGCTTTAAGTGATTCCTCTTCTTAGTGTGAACTTGGATGATTATATAACATAAATGATTAAAACACAATAAATATTTAGAATACAATTGTTCAATAAATTTGGAAACTTACCCTTTCAAAAGCACTCCAGTTCCTTTCACATCCAGATGAGCTACATGTCAAACTAAGAACTCTCAAAGCAAACCACTGCAATTCAGGATGTCCGCTTTCATAAGAATCTCACCATTGTGTTGGTGTTTTAGTTTGAAGTGCAAATGTAGCAACTTCACTACCAAAAGATCCAACTTTTCCTTTGAAATCCTCAAGTTAAAGATCCATCAAGCCTCTTTGTTCTGGATCTTCTGAAATTCTGGTATCAGATATGTGATGTCGAATGAGATGTCCCGACACAAATATCTGAGGAACAAAGTAAAGTGCAACAATAATAAATACAGTAAAAAATACAAGGGATTGTTAATCCAGTTCAGTGTACAACAACACATACTCTGGAGGCTACCAAGCCAGAGACAAGTCCACTAAATAGTATCAGTTCATAGACCCTCAGTAAACAACCAGTTTACGATTTAATCACTACATGTTTTATACTTCTACCTAAGACTCACCTAGGTATGAGGCTCTCATCAAATTCCTTCAATCACTTATAGTGAAGAAACAACAAAAATAATAAATTTAAAAACTTCAATCATTCAATGCTTAAAAGCTTATGAATGATACACAATTAACAATCCAAATAACAACACAAGTATTAAATCAATACTAGAGTGTTTGAGAATTAAAAGACTTAGACTTCTAAAACAGAAAGAAATTGTTCTTCTTCAAAAGTTGCAGTGGTCTGAATAAGGAAGCAAGTCCTTACATATACGCAGCAGTGGGCTTGGGCTGAAAAACAAATATTCAAATCTTTTGAATATTTTCATGAAAACAAGTCAAGATATAATCCATAAAGATAATTCAAATAGAAAAATATTTCTCCATATTTTTTACAGCCTATGAGTCACAAATCTTGAATTATGGTGCACAGAAAATAAGGAAACAGAAAACATGAAATGATATTGGGTTGAGTCTAGTTCAGGAGGCAGATGTCAAGACATCTGCTTTGACATCATTCAAAACAATTTTACTTCAAATGTTAATACATTTAGCAAAACATTATCAAGTCATTGTTTTACCAAAATTGCTGCCAACAAACACTTAGAAACTCCCCCTTTGGTAAATTTTGACTAAAACATTATCAGAGCACATTATCAGAATATTATCAGAATATTATCAGACCAGCAGCATAAGCAAAGCAAGCAAAACAAAAACTCAGTTAGCAGTTAGCTGTTAGAAAATGTAGATGTCAAAACATCTTCTGAGACATGAGGCCCCCCCTCAATCAGTGGTCAGTCAGTCAGTTTCTCTCCCCCTTTTTAGTTATAATATGTCAAATAAAAGGATGCATTCAAGAGTGTATCAGTAATATAGGTACAGACCATAGAATTCAAATGTCAAGCACATGCAAGTTCCAAAAAGAACCAAAGGGTTCAAATAAATAAACATCAAATAGTCTAATTGTCGTCAGGACCGGTAGACTTGGTTGAGTCAGAACTTCCTTCCTCACTAGAATCTCTTTCTTCAGAGCATACTATATCATCAAAGTTGTTGTCCTTTTGCAGCTCCTTGATCATCTTCTCAAAAGTTAGCTTCCTTGCTGAGCTACCTCTAATCACATCATGTAGTTCTTTGTAGGCTTCTTTCAATTCAGTGATCATGTCATTCTTGGTGGAGGTCTTGTTTTCAGCAGGTGCAGATGTCAAAACAATGTCTGAGACATGTTTTCTTGAATAAAGCTTAATATGAAGGGTCAAAGCAGACTCCCTCTTGCACACTACATCATTACCACTTAGAATCCTAGGATGCTGATTAAAAATAATTCCACAGATGAGGGAAGGAAAAGCAATTGGCATCTTAATGGGACAAGTTTCTGCATGCTTAATAGTCTGATAAAAGATGTAAGTACCATAATCAAAAAGTTTCTTGTTTCCAACAGCATAAATAAACTTTCCTAAGCCAATAGTGATGGTTAAAGTATGATGTGTAGGAACCCAATTTGCAGCTCCAATTCTGTGTAAAATAGCATATTTCACACTTAGCTTTCTAACAGGAAGTTTGTTCTTTAAGGGTCACTCATTTACTTGATTGATAGTTATGGCTCTGTACACTTTATTATCTGTTACTTCTAGCTCACAAAAGTCATCTTCAGACCTATCCAAAAATTTGTTTATGATAGTAACATACACCTTTCTATACTCCTTACTTTTATGATCAACACAGTCAACAGAAATATTAACAATAAATTCCTTAACAAGAGTCTCATAGCATTTGGAAAACCTGGTAATAGTTTTCATCAGTCCATCATAAGATATCATCTCCATGATTTCTTTGCATTCTAGAGCACCAGCTCCCAATTCTCTTTCTAGGGCAATTCTTCTTTGAAACACATACTTCCACTTTTCAGCATTCCCAACAGAATGGAAGGAAATGTTGTCAAGAGGAGCATCAGGAACCCTAAAAGAAATATTCTTGCTTGTAGAATTTTTGATAGGAGAGATATCTTGGAAATCTTGCTCGACATCATATTCTGAGTCAACTTCTTCAACAACCATAACTTTATTTTTACTTTTAGATCTTTTTACAGCATCATCATCAGTGGAGCTATCAGGTCTAGCTTTTCTTTTACTAGAGGGAGGAACCACTTTACTTCTTGGATTTAGGGGTCCATACATGATTTTCTTCTTGGTTGTCTTGGCAGGGGGTATGAAACATGCATCCTTCACTTTCCTGGATTTGAGTCTTCTTGCAATACCAGACACCACATTAGTAATGAGCTCATTGTCAGATAGATCATCTACATTGACTATATTCTCAACATTTTGGCCTTCTGCATCCTTGGAGGCAGCATCATCTTCCTTAGTATGAGAGTTCTCTTCAACATTTTGTTCAACATTTTCTTCTTCCACTTCCTTTAGAATAGAGATAACAAGCTTCTCAAGTTTTCTTTCAGCAGCATCTTTCTTGAAGGTGGATGATTCAGCAGCAACACTTTTTGGGTTACTTCCTTTATCAGCCGGAGGATGCATGCGAGTAAGAGGAGTATAAATCCCAGGAACAGCAAAGCCTTCATGTAATACTCTGTCTACTAGCCTTCTGATGCTTCTATCAATATTAACAATCTCTTCTTCTGTCCTATTTTCAATAGCAGCAGAAGAGTTACCTTTATCATCTTTGGATTTCTTTGCAGGTGATGATATGGGTTTCTTGGCCTTTTCTCAAGAAGTGGGATGGTTGTTAGGGAAGTAGCATCAAGTACTCTGTCAAGGGAGAGATTTTCAGGGAGGTTGACAGATTTTGAGGAAGACAATGTATGATGTTGAGACATCTTTAAAGATTTTTGAGCAGGGAGATGAAGAATGACAAGGGTTCTTTTTTTGTAGAGGAGAATGAAGAGTTTGTGAAAGTAGAAAGATGAAATTTCATAGCGTGTGGGAAACACTATGAGGCAGTCTTGTAATGATTGCTTTCAAAATTTTATTTGTTGGAAACACAAATAAAATAATATCATTTTAATGATATTCTCACATGCCCTTAGTTGCTACAAACCTTCATATAGCCAAATCCCTAATTTTCTTCTCAAGTTCTCAAATAATTAGCATTCAAGGCCTTAGTGAAGATGTAAGCCAGTTGCAATTCAGTGGCTACATGTTCTAAGGCAACAATCTTTTCTTCAACAAGCTCTCTTATGAAGTGATGACATATATCAATATGTTTGGTCGTGCTGTGTTGAATGGGTTTCTTTAATATTTTTATGGCACTTAGATTGTCACGGAATAATGTCATAACATCTTGTTTGACATTGTATTCTTTTAATATTTGTTTCATCCAAACCAATTGAGAACAACTGTGTAATACGGTGGGAGAACTGACTTGGTTGTTTTTGCGTTTGATTGCAAATGTTACGGTTAGCAAGAGTCGCCGCTGACTTTTCTTTTATCCAATAAGGAAAGACT